GGTACTGTAGGGACAGCTTGTGTCCGCCCTCTGACCTCTGGGGCCCCAGCTTGGAAGAATCGACGATGTCTGGTGGTGACTCAATGGTGGGGAGTTGGCACTGTCTGAACACATGGTCACTCACATGGGTCGGGGTCAATGCCATTTATCAGCCAGACACAGGGCGAGCTGCTTGGGCTTCCCTTCAGCATGGTTGTTGGGTTTTAAGAGTAATTGTCCCAAAGAAAATCAGGTGGAAGTCCTTAATGATCTAGCCTCAGAAGTCACACATGGTGACTTCTCCTGGAGTCACAGACCTGCCCCATTTCAAGGAAAGGGAGCATAGACCTCTATCTCTTGATGGGGGGTGGGGATGTAGCAAAGTCACATAAGGACAGCATGTTGGATGGTAGATAATATGGCCACTATCTCTGGGAAAGAAAATCTGCCACAAGGATGGACTAATCAATGAACGACTAAATGATATCAGTAATGAACATTAGCAATTCTCTCAAATAGTTGAGCTCTTCCTTGAGAGCACAGTGTGATCGCACTTTCCCATCCTCTTGAGGTTAACCAAGGCCTATGATTTGCTTTGGTCAATGAAATATGGATGGAAGTGACTTGTGTGACTTACTGCAGGAAGCATTTACAATTGATCCTCCTCATTCACAGATTCTGTATGTGCAAGTTCACCAACTTGTTGGTCTATATTTAGAACTCCAAACTTAATGCTCACAGCACCTTCTTGGTCACTGGTGGACATCTGCATGTGTAGAGTAGTGAGAAATTCTAGCCACTGTATCCACACATTCCTGGCTGGGGTCAAATAAGGTGGAGCTCTGCCTTCTAGTTTCAGCTCCCATACAGTAAACAAGTGTCCTTTTTGCAGTCTATTTAGTTCCATGGTTTTTTGCTTTTTTGTGCTTCTTGTTGATTTTGTTGCTTAAAATGGCCTCGGAGCAAAGCAGTGAAGTGCTGTCTCCTTGCCTGAGGGCGGGAAGGCTGGGATGTGCCTTTTGGAGGAGATATGTGTGTTTTATCAGCTTCATTGAAGTCCAAGTTACAGTGTTGTTGGTGATGAGTTCAATGTTCATGAACCAACAATATCTATTAAATAAGGTAGCTTTATCCAATAACACCTATAAAACAAGGTTATGTAGTGATTGGTTGACAAAAATATTGTGACCCGAGGCTCACAGGAACCTAACTCGGTATTTCCTCTAGAAGCAATAGTTCAGGATTCATTAATTCAATGTTCATGGCGACTTTTTTTTTTTTAAGATTTTATTTATTTATTTGTCAGAGAGAGAGCACAAGCAGGGGGAGGGGCAGAGGGAGAGGGAGAAGCAGGTTCCCCACCAAGCAGGGAGCCCGATGTGGGGCTCGATCCCAGGATTGGGATCATGACCAGTGCCCAAGGCAGACGCTTAGCCGACTGAGCCACCCAGGCGTCCCTTGTGGTGACTTTATAGAACAAAGCTGCTGCAAAGAATGAGAACGGGCTGTGGTCACTGCTGCAGGGCTCTGCAGGCTCCCTCCCCTGCTGGGGTGAAATGGAGGCACCTGTTCTCAGAACCCAGCACCATGGCGCCACCGCATGTGCTGTAAAGCTTCAATAGAATATCTTCTGCATAATGTCACACAAACATTGATTAAATATGCATTATTAGAACAATTTTACCATAATTAATCAACAAGAAAACTAGCTAGATTATTTTGACATATGGGCATAAAACTTGAGCCTTCTGAATTTCATTAAATTCATGCCAACCAGAATCCTATTATTCTGAAATAACTCCTTTTCTTTCCCTCCTTTTGTTCTTGTACATGGCTAATTATCACCTTATAAATATAGATAACTCAGCTGAGTCACCTGCTGTTATCTTCGTTAATTGTACATTCCACCCCCTATTAAATGAATGTCTCCAAATTTAGCCTCAGCTTTTCTACAAAGAAAATGCTCCCCCCACCCCGAAAGAAGGCATTGATAACTCTAAAAGGTACTCTGCAGATGAAAAGAACAACGGGAATCTTAAACAACAATGAAATTATTTCCTTTTTTCTTAAAACTTTCTGCGAAGTAAAATTGTATTCCCAGCTTTGCAAAGTCACCTAAGCAGTGGATCACATGTGATAGAAGTTAAAATAATCAGGCTGTTTTTAAAAAATCAGTCAAGGGCGCTTGTGTGGCTTAGTTGGTTAAGTGACTGCCTTTGGCTCAGGTCATGATCCTGGAGTCCCGGGATCCAGTCCCATGTCCGACTCCCTGCTCATCGGGGAGCCTGCTTTTCCCTCTGACCCTCCGCCCTTCTCATGCTCTCTTTCTCTCTCTCTCTCTCTCTCAAATAAATAAATAAAATCTTTAAAAAAAAAGATTTTAAAAATTTTTTAAAAAATCAGTCAAAATTCATTATTTAGCCTTCACTAAAGAATTCAAATTTAGCTCTGCATAATAACAGATTTGATGTAAATACTAGTGAGTGTCATGTGTCCACAGGCCACTGCCCACTTGTTAGGGTAGGGAAGGGGAAAGGAAAAAAGAGAACATCAATTGCTTTAAAAGCAGTAGAATCACACAATGGGATAGTCTTCAGCAATAAAAAAGAATGAAGTGCTGATACATGCTACAACACGGATGACTCCCAAAGACATTGCCCTACGAGAAAGATGTCGGTCACAAAAGAACACATATTATATTCCACTTACATGAAATGTCCAGAATGGGCAGATCCACAGGGATAGAAAATAAATTAGTGAATCACCTCCTAGGCGCTGGGAGGTGTTGGAGATTGGGAGTGACTACTCAATTGTATGGAGGTTTCTTTTTGGAGCGATGGAATGTTCTGGAATTGGTGATGGTTGTTGTACACCACACTGAAAACACTAAAACCCACTGAATTGTACACTTTAAAGTGGTGAATTTTATGTTACGTGAATCGTATCTCAAAAAAACCTTTTTTTTTACACCAGGCACACAACAATAAGATGGCTATAATCAAAAAGTCAGGTGGTAACAAGCACTGGCGAGAGTGTGGAGGAACAGAGTGCTCACAGCCTGCTGATGAAAACCTAAAAAGGTACACTTTAGAAAAGAGTCTGGCTGTTCCTCAAAAAGTTAAACATTATGTTACCATTTGACCCAGCAAACCCCACTCCTGGGAATTCACTCAAGAGAAATGAAAACATGTCCATACAGAAACCTGGACACAAATGTTTGTGGCAGCATCATTCATAATAGCCCAAAGCTTGAAACAACTCAAATGTCCATCAACCGATGAAAAATATTTATCCAATGTAATATTCTCAGCCACAAAAAGGAATGAAGCACTGATACATGCTAAAACATGGATGAAACCTGAAACATTTTGCTAAGTGAAAGAAGCCAGCAATAAAGAACCACACGCTGTATCCTATGTGGTCTGTATGCTCTCACCCCCTCAAAACTCACGTTTTGAAAACCAAATGCTCAATGTGATGGTATTAGGAGGTGGGCCTTTGGGAGGTGATAGGTCAGGAGGGCAGACTCCTTCATGAATGGGATTAGTGCCCTTATAGAAGGGGGGTGGAGCTGCCTTGCCCCTTCCACCTTGTGAGGACCCCACCAGCAGTCTGCCACTGGGAGAAGGGCCTGCTCCGAACTTGCGGGCATCCTGATCTTGGACTTCAGCCTCCGGAACCTTGAGAAATAAGATTCTGTAGTTTATAAGCCCCGAGGGTGTGATATTTTGTTACAGTAGCCTCACAGATTAAGACACTGCATTGTTTCATTTATATGAAATGTCAGAATAAGCAAACCTATAGAGACAGAGGGCAGATTAGTAGTTGCCTAGGGCTGGGGGATGGGGAATTGGGGAGCGATGGCTAAAGATTATGGGGTTTGGGGTGGGGGGAGAGGTGATAACAATGCTCTAAAATTTATTGTAGTGATGGTCGCACAACTGTGAATACACTAAAACACTAAATGGTACACATTAAATGGGTGAATTTTATGGTGTGTGAATTATATATCTCAATAAATCTCTTAGGAAAAATAAGGAATAAATCTAACCAAATAGTTTCCAAGGCACTAGAATCCTGTCGCTCTACCCCCCATTTCTCGGCCCCCCTTTCACCTCCCTCCCCCCAGCCTGATAGTTCTAGTGCGACCAACTCAGGTTCTGGGATCCTTTCAGGCAAAGGTCAATAAACCAGGACAGTTGAAGATTCTCTCTAGGCATGACTGTAGCCCCATCTACCTCCTCCCGCGAGGGACCTTGATGGATGTCGGGCACCTTGGACATGTGAGTGTGTGTGAGTGTGAGTAGAGCCTCACGTCCCTGGCTGGGCCCCGGATCCGACTCGCGCATGGAGCCCTGGGCCCACAGGGGTGTCAGAAGGTACAGCCAAGGTCCCAGTCGGCAGCCCGCCCACCTTCCCACCCAGCGAGCAGGCGCCCTCCCGCCTTCCACTGAGGGCACCCAGGGTGCGGGCCGCGCTCACGCCACTCCCCGGGACTAGTCTAAACCGGCTCCCTGCGCGGGTGGAGCCGCGGAGAGGTTCCCAAACCGGTTACACCAGAAACCCCGCAAGTCGGTTACTGAGTCCTCCACCCCCACTCCCACAGTGGACACCTTTGTGCGCCGGTTAATTTGAAAACAAGGGCGGGGGACGGGAGGGACTCCCAAAGAACGCCCGGCCTAAGCGGACCCTGCAGTCCTGTCTCCGGGCCTCACCGCTGCAGGGGGGTAGCTCTGCAAGGGGGGCGCGGCCCCGCGGGAGCTGCCGGAGTGGGAATCGGAAGGGGAGGGGGCGGGCTTGCGGTCGCAGCGCCCCCTCCCGGTCCAGGCGCGGACCGGCTCCTGCGGACTCGGTCCCCCGCACTGCGGGGAGGAGGGGCGCGCGTCGGCGGGGTGACGGGGGCTCCGGGCAGCGCCGGGGCGGGGACTCGCGGCCGGGCAGGCGCGCGGCGCGCGCTCGCAGCGGGGCGGCCCTGTCCTGATCCTCTCGCCAGCCTCTCGCCACCCTCCCCCCCGCTGGAGCGTCGGCGCCGCCCATGGCCGAGGTGCTGGAGCCCGATTCCGCGACAGCAGAGCGCGCAGCGGCCCAAGCCGTGGAGACGCCAGGCTGGACGGCGCCGGAGGACGCGGGCCCCCAGGTAGGCGCCTCCCGCGGCCGCGGACGGTGCAGGCCGGAATGCGCCGGGTGACTTGCAATGGAACCGGAGAGTCCCGCAGATTTAAGTAAAAAGTTCAATTTTTGAAGTTGCCTGGGTCCCCAGCTCCGTTCCTGCCCAGATGGGGAAATTCGGTCGGTTAGCCATAACCCTAGGTTATGGCTACATCTCCATCTCAACTGGCCACATCTCGGTTTCTTTTGAGGTTAAAAAAGAAAAAGGAACTGATCAGGTCCCAGAGCCCGCGGTGGGACCTTCCCGGCCCAGAGGACGTAACAGATGCTAGGTCTTACCGACCCCCCACCCCTGCCTGTGGGGCAGAGGCCCCCAGCGTCTCTAATCCAAGGATGGGAGCCTCGGGGAAGGGGCCCTGCCAGGTCCTAAGGAACCAGAACCAGGGGTCCATCCCAGGTGGACCCGAGATCAAGCCACCTGTACTGTTGCCTTTCACGTCCTGCCTTTTTAGAATTGCTTCCCTCAGTTTTCTCTGTTCCATTTTAGCCCGGAAGTTATGAGATCCGGCATTATGGACCAGCCAAGTGGGTCAGCACTTCCGTTGAGTCCATGGACTGGGATTCAGCCATCCAGACTGGTTTTACAAAGCTGAACGGCTACATTCAAGGCAAAAATGAGAAAGGTGAAGACGATTCACCTTATAATTATATATATTGTGGTTGAGTCCCCGGGCTTATTTTGCATTTTAGGTTATTAAAGAGATATACTTTAGAATAGAAAAATGAGATCATCGAAGACTTAAATGTTTGAAGACAAGGACTCTGCTCAGAACCCTTAGCAGAGTCTAGAGGAGGGTAGTGCTTTTCAACCTCTGTTGTCTGTTTCTGCTGGATGAACTGGGCCTCTGTGTAACTAGTGTTAAGTCCTTTTCATGGCTAATGCTTCGAGGTAATTTGGTGACTGGTAGGTTAAGAGTGATCAGGAGGCAGGAAGGTACTAAGAACCCAAGATCAAGGGTCTCAAGACGTCTGGTTCGGGCTCTGACGCTATTTATGCTTTAGCAGGTCACTTAGCCTATGGGATCTCAGTTTCCGAATTGTAAAAAAAATAAATAGGCTGGACTATACGATCTCTAATTTTCCCTTCCATTCCTAAAACTAGAATTTATTAACCAAAAATATTAGTAGTACAGAAAGTGTTTCATGTGGCCAGTGGATAATTGAATCATTCTGCCCTTATTTTTTAATGATGAAAATTATCTCAAAGGTAAATTTTATGTCAGTAGCATAAAGTCAGTCAGGAAACTCAGATCAAAAAAATAGTAGGTTAAATTTTTAGAAGTAGTCATAAATACGCTAAATCTGCTTTCATGGTCTTTTCACAGTATTTAAATATATTATTTTATGGTCCAGAGATGAAGATAAAGATGACAGCCCCGGTAACAAGCTACGTGGAGCCCGGTTCCGGTCCTTTCAGCGAGTCTATCATTACCGTTTCCGTGTACATCCCCTCTGAACAGCAATCTGATCCGCCCAGGCCTTCAGAGTCAGATGTCTTCATTGAAGACAGAGCTGAAATGACTGTGTTTGTCCGGTAAGTGGTAGATAATTTATAGCCCTGCCGACTGCTAGTTTTCCTCGCCTGCTCTCAGTTGAGCTCCTCTGCAATTTCAGCAGGCTTTTCACCCTTCCGTAAAAAAAGAGGTCTACTGCATTTTGTGGTGTTTTCCTCCTGGCTCAGTTTTGTGTGTTCCTAAGGGTCTACTGCAAGATATAATCAATTCATGTAATGAAGAGTCTGTTGCATACCTTCCACAACTAAGACACAATGCACATTATTCTCAACCTGCCTTTGAGGTAAACCTGAACAAGAATCGTAACACAGTGCAGGGTACTCCTCCTCCTCCCAGCTTCTAGGTTCTTTTTTTTTTTTTTTTAAAAAGATTTTATTTATTTATTTGACAGAGGGAGACACCATGAGAGAGGGAACACAAGCAGGGGGAGTGGGAGAGGGAGAAGCAGGCTGCCTGTTCAGCAGGGAGCCCAACGCGGGGCTCGATCCCAGGACCCTGGGATCATGACCTGAGCTGAAGGCAGAAGCTTAACGACTGAGCCACCCAGGTGCCCCCCAGCTTCTAGGTTCTGATAGCCCCGGACTCTTCCTGCGTTCCCCAGCCCAAGGGATGCTAGCTGCTTCCTGCCGTCATTGCCTCTGTTCATCGAGTGGTTCCTTATACTGTTTCAGGCTTCCAGTATCGGTTTGACACATTCTTAAATTCTCTCTGATGATATGTAAAACACGCACAGAACATGGTAACAGTCTCATACTGGTGTTGCTTTATTCCTTTCTCTCCTTCTTGTCACCACCCACCTGCTAAAGGAATCTGTCTGTCTGTCTCTCTTTCCACAGGCTCCTCAGACCACCACAGTCTGGGAGAGGCCATACCATCTCCTTGGGGCTGCCCTCGTCGCCCTCGGCTGTGCCCTTGCCTTTGGCACGTGATGGCAGCTCTTGTCTGTGTGACCCCTGCAGCCTTCGTGTATTGACCCGTCTGTTCTCTTGATGCTGAGCCATCCTGTTCAGTCTCAGAAAGTCACTCTCTTGCCATTCTTCTCCTCCTGTTCCTCTCTCTCACCCAGGAAGCGCTGTTGATGCCCCGCATTGACCCCCAGGTCATAGCAGACTTGCTCTGGGTGATCTGTTTATAAAGCTTCAACTACATGTGTCCAGTGACTCTCAAAATTTAGTGTCTCCAGCCCCGATTACCCTACTTGCTGGACATTTCCATGAGAGGTAGGTGGGGATCAAACTCAACAGCTCTACAAATGAGCCTTCCCCCAGTTCTCAAGGTATGTGAGCAGTGATCGTCTCTTGCCTGTCTCAGCAAAGGGCTTCATCAGCCAGACAGCATCCCCGGCAAGGACCTCCAAGGCCACCATCAGTGAACCCATCCCTGACAACTGGTTACCAGATCCGGTCCAGGCTCCTTGGAAATGATCCAGGACTCTGTTCCCTCTCCCCTTCCCTGTGACTTCCTCAGGTCCTCATCCTCTAGGAACCACACCTCAGTCATCTCTGTGTGTCCCAGTGCTTGGCAACAGTGCCTGACACTCGGTAGATGCTCGGATGTCTATTCTTCTCAGGTCTTCACTGCTGCACTTCAGTGGCCTTCCAACTGCTGGGAGTAACCTGCCCACCATTCTCTTCCTCTCGTGCTCCACATGGGAACCCATGGTCTTTCTTACCACCACAGCAGCAAAACAAAAACCCCACCCCATGACTTCACTAAAAATCTCTGTGACTTTCCACTTGCTTCAGGGTGAAGTTCAGACTGTTCACAATGCCTTTTATAATGTGGCCCAAAGTGTCTCCTACTAGCTACGTTCCACTGACCTTCCCACCCTTCCCCGAGCAGCCCGTGTTCTTCCACATCTCTCTTTTTTTCTTAAGTTTTTATTTCAATTCCAGTTAGTCACCGTACAGTGTCCTCTTAGTTTCAGGGGATTCAACACTTCCCTCCATCACCTGGAGCTCATCACGACAAGTGCCCTCCTTCCTCCCATCACCTGTTTCACCCATCCCCCACTGACCTCCCCTCTGGGAACCACCAGTTTGTTCTCTAGAGTTAAGAATCTGTTTCTTGGTTTGCCTCTCTTTTTTTCCCCTTTGCTCATTTATTTTGTTTCTTAAATTCCACATATGAGTGAAGTCACAATGGTGTTCGTCTTTCTCTGACTAACTTATTTTGCTTAGAATAATACTCTCTAGTTCCATCCATGTCGTTGCAGATGGCAAGATTTCATTCTTTTTATAGCTGAGTAATATTCCATTGTGTATATATAGCACATCTTCTTTATCCATTCACCCATCAATGGACACTTGGGCTGTTTCCATGTTTTAACTGTTGTAGATAATGCGGCTGTAAACATCAAGGCACATGTGTCCCTTTGATTTAGTATTTCTGTATTCTTTGGGTAAATACCTAGTAGTGCAATTGCTGGATCGTAGAGTGTTTTTGTTGTTGTTGTTGTTTTGTTTTTAACTTTTTGAGGAACCTCCATACTGTTTTCCAGAGTGGCTGCACCAGTTTGCATTCCCACCAGCAGCACCCTTTCTCCACATCCTCGCCAACACCTGCTGTTTCTTGGGTTGATTTTAGCCATTCTTACAGGTGTGAGGTGGTATCCCATTGTAGTTTTGATTTGCATTTCCCTGATAAGTGATATTGAGCATCTTTTCATGTGTCTGTTGGCCATCTGTATATCTTCTTTGGAGAAATGTCTGTTCATGTCTTCTGCCCGTTTTTTAATTGGATTTGTTTTCTGGGTGTTGAGTTTTCTAAGTTCTTTATATATGTTGAATACTAACCCTTTATCAGATATGTCATTTGCAAATATCTTCTCCCATTCTGTAGGTTGACTTTTAGTTTTGTTGATTGTTTCCTTCACTCTGCAGCTTTTTATTTTGATGTGGTCCCAATAGTTTATTTTTGCTTTTGTTTCCCTTGACTTAGGAGACATATCTAGAAAGAAGTTGCTGTGGGCAATGTGAAAGAAGTTACTGCCTGTGTTCTCTTTTAGGACCTCATGGTTGCAGGTATCACATTTAGGTCTTTAACCCATTTTGAATCTTTTTGTGTATGGTGTAAGAAAGTGGTCCAATTTTATTCTTTTGCAAGTTGCTGTCCAGTTTTCCCAACACCATTTGTTGAAGAGACAATCCAATATCCCATCGAATATCCTTTCCTCCTTTGTCGAAGATTAACTGACCATATAATTGTGGGTTCATTTCTGGGTTTTCTATTCTGTTCTATAGATCTAAATGTCTATCTTTGTGACAGTACCATACTGTTTTCATTATAGAACTTTGTAATATAACTTGAAATCTGAAATTGTGATGCCTCCAGCTTTGCTTTTCTTTTTCAAGGTGGCTTTGACTATTCGGGGTTTTTTGTGGTTCCATACAAACTTTAGGATTGTTTGATCAAGCTCTGTGAAAAATGCTGTTTGTATTTTGATAGGGATTGCATTAAATATGTAGATTACTTTGTGCAATATAGACATTTTAACAGTATTTGTTCTTCCAATCCATGAGCATGGAATGTCTTTCTTTGTGTCCTCTTCAGTTTGTTTCATCAGTATTTATTTTTTTAAAAGACTTTATTTATTTGAGAGAGAGAGAGTGGGTGAGAAAGCATGAGTGGGGGGAGAGGTAGAGAGAGAGGAAGAAGCTGACTCCCCACTGAGCCGGGAGCCCGACTCAGGGCTCAGTCCCAGGACTCCGGGATCATGACCCGAGCCGAAGGCAGACGCTTAACCAACCGAGCCACCCAAGCACCCCTTTCATCAGTATTTTATAGTTTTCAGAGTACAGGTCTTTTACATCTTTGGTTAGGTTTATATCTAGGTATCTTATGGTTTTTGGTGCAGCTGTAATGGGATTGATTCCTTAATTTCTCTCTCTGCTGCTTCATTATTGGTATATAGAAATGCAACAGATTTCTGTAAATTAATTTTATATCTCGCAACTTTACTGAATTCGTTTATCAGATCTAATAGTTTTTTTGTGGAGTCTTTCAGGTTTTCTATATATACTATCATGTCATCTGCAAATAGTGAAAGTTTTACTTCTTCCTTGCCAATTTGGGTGTTTTTTCATTATTGGATTGCTGTGTCTAGGACCTTCCACATCTCTGTAGCTGTGACCTCAGGCGGGTTCCTCAGATTTTCTTGCCCGAAGCTCTTCATCTGTAAAATGTGTATAGTTATCGTACCATCTCTCATAGGGTTGCCATGAAGACTAAATGAGTTAATTTCTGTAAAATAGTTAAAATGTGCACCTGACCTTAACTACTAGTTCTAGCTCTTTCTTTCTCCTCTTCCTGGAGCATCCACTTTTATCCTTTAGGACTTGGATCAAATGGTACCTCCTCTGTGATGCCTTCCTCAGTTTCTCCAGTTAGCTAGCCACTCTGTTCTGTTATTCTAAATTTTAGTGATAGAGGTGCAAACTGTAACTTTCTCAAGAATACTGCAACATGGCATTCTGTTCATACCCTGCAGCTCCTAGCAAGGCAGGTGTGTGGGAAGAGAATCATATGTTTGTGTACTGAATAAAGCTGTGAGGGATCATTGTAGAACAATATGTATTCAGAGAACAAAAGATGATTTCTAACTAGGGGGTTCGAGATTTGATTTCAGGGCAGAAATAGGATCTGAAAACAAGTTTCTTTTAGGCAGAACAGACTATGAGTTGGCTCTTCATTAAGGAAATAATAGATTTAGGGGGCAAATATTTCTTAACACATGGTTCAGAATTATCATTATCAGTCAACATTCTGAAAATTAGAACAGTTTTATCAACTTATCTTCAATGTTTTATTTCATGTACATGTGTGTAGATTCCTATACTATTCGATGAGGATTTAAAAGATACTGCATGCCATTAACAATTCTAGATGCCTCATGAACATCGTTGAATGAAATACACATAGTGTGTACCCTTGAGAGCTTACATCTTACCTGAAGAATGGTAGGACTAAGCTTTTCCATTGGCACATTGATAATACAACTTATGCTAAAGAAGGTATATTGGGAATATTTGTGATTTTCTGTGTTTCCTATTCTTAACCTTCAAAATCAAATTCATCATATTTACATGTCAGCAACTCAGCTAGGTCTGGGTGCTGTCATAATTTAACCTCAGGATAGTTTTGTATGTACTTGAAAATCTATACTTAAACTTTTATTCTCTTTTCCCACTTTTTATTTAAATCTTTTGACTGTCTTTTCTTCCTCATCCCCATAGCAACCTCCAGACTTGCTCCTTCCCTCCAGTCTCTTCTCCATCTGTCTTTCCCGGATCCTAAGAAGTTACTTTTCTGCTCAGCATCCTTCAGAATAATCTCGAAAGGCCTTGAGATGACATAAGATTCTTCTTTCTGGCTCCGACTCACCTTTCAGAGCTCATTTTGTGCCTCACTATGAACATGCTTTGTATTTTTGAACTTCTGTTCCTTTTCTTCTCCTTCCCCTTTTCCTGCCCAGCAAAGCCATCCTCTATTCCAGACCCAACTCAGATGACATCCCTTACCCCTGATTCAGTCATATCCTTGGGGTTCCCAAGCATATGGATCCTGTCTCTGTTAAATCTCTTCTCAGGCTGTATATAAAGAACTGCCAAAATGTTCCCCTCTTCCAGTAGACTATAAATTCATAGGGTCAAAACTCTATCATATTCATCTGTGATGCGGCACCTACCCTTTTCCCAAGGAGAGGAGGGGAGGGGAACTGTTCCATAGAAAATTGGAAGTCTGAAAGGGAGTCTTCTAAGGGGGTTTCAGTACGGTCCTCTGACCGGCAGCACCAGCATCATTGGGAGCTTGTTAGGAATGCAGATTCTCAGGCCCCACCTGCATCTGCATTTTAGCAAGATTCCCAGGTGATTAGTATGTGCTCACAAAAGTCTGAGAAGCAACAGTTAGAGCACGAGATGGTGAACGTCCCAAGTCTGCCTGCCAGCAGCTGGGACATGTGCCTCCTCGTGGGTCCCCTCTGTGTGTGGCGAGGTGGCGCTGAGAATGGGAACCAGAGGAGAGGAGGTTGGCTGCTGGGGGGTGGGGGGCGGAAGCTGCACTTGATCCAGCCTTCGTCGTGTCAGCTTCTGCTCCCCTTTTCAGACTGACATTTACATCAGCGTGAACATCATTCACGGTTATTTACTTTCTCCTTCGCAGGGCTTTCGATGGATTCTCTAGTGCTCAAAAGAATCAAGAACAGCTTTTGACATTAGCAAGCACTTTGAGGGAAGAAGGAAAAGTTTTCAATGAGAAGGTTTACTACACCGCAGGCTACAACAGTCCTTTCAAGTTGCTTGATAGAAATAATGAAGTGTGGTTGATTCAGAAAAATGAACCTTCCAAAGAAAATGAATGAGAAAAAAAACCCCAGGAAGTTCCACTGCTTACTGTAGACATCAACACTACCTACCTGTAAAATGCAGGTCTAGTTGCTCTACCTGAGAGAACTGTGATGAACTGAGCTTATTTCCAAGGTGCCTTGTAAAGCTTGAAGCTTTATCTGGATACACAGGGAACAGGGGACAGTATTCTAGAAATATGTGAATCAATCAGTCACAGCTCTGGGGAAGTTTATTTCTGTGAGGTTCCTGGAAAGTGTCCTGTTACTTGACCCTTCTTCACATGTTGCCTTTTTCGACTTGGATTTGTGTCATTTGGATGTTATCCCCTCCAGATATTATCAATAAAAATGCCAAAGAGTTATCCTGTATGGCACGGCTAGGCTGTGAAGCCTTGCGAGGTGAAGTTCAACTGAAAACAAAAATCAGATTCTTTTGCACCTGACCCTGTCACATTTCCTGTGGGCTCCTCTTCCCCAGCTGCCCAGCCACCCCCACCGCAACAGAAAATCCCACCGTACCCAAAAGGGTCGATAATATTGCATGGCAAAGAACAAATTTATGAAGTTAGGGACTTCTATTCCTAAACTCAATAAAGGCATGTTCTTTCCTGAAGGCATGTATACAAATATGTAATTTTAAAATTCACACCTGCTTTTAAAGTATTTCATGTAGTGGTGTGCCTCAGTGGCTCAGTTGTTAAGCATCTGCCTTTGGCTCAGGTCATAATCCCAGGTCCTGGGATCGAGCCCCGCATCGGGCTCCCTAATCCACAGGAAGCCTGCTTCTCCCTCTCCCACTCCCCCTGCCTGTGTTCCCTGTCTCGCTGTGTCTCTCTCTGTCAAATAAATAAATAAAATATTTTAAAAAAAGTATTTCATGTAGTTCTGGAGGTCATATAGATTATAGTTATTAAAAGGATGAGTTGCCATAAAATCAAGGAGGTTGAAATGTGTGCCTAATTGTGTCCTGGAGATCTCAGATGTAACTGGGGCCCAAGGATGCCAGAGCACCTGACTCTGGGGTCCCAAACAGACCAGGTTCGGCCACTCACCGCTGACAAAATCCAAAGGCAAGGAGATGAGAGGTGGTGAAACAAGAAAGGAATTTATTTCAGTGAGGCCAACACTGGGACGACTGGGGACTAGCGTCTGAAGACGATCTTACATGCTGAAAATACTTCCAAATTTATATAAGGACAATGTGGGACAGAGGTTGGTGGGTACACACAGGTGGGCAGTAAAGGTCAGGTCAATCATTATCTTGCGGTCAACCACAGGGTGTCTTTCTTGCTTGAGCAGGTAGTTTCAGTTCCCATCAGGGGGTACTTAGCCCACCTGGTCTTTTGCCTGAGTTAACAGATATGCTGGAAAGAATCAATTAGTACAAACTGAGGTCAAAACCGGGGCAGTTGAAGTCCTCTTCCACAGAGGAAGCCCGTTGTGGGAAAGGCAGTAACTACTGTGGCCTCTCAGGGTATGGTTGTTGGAGGACTGAAGGAGAAAAGCAGGTTGGTTCTCAGTAACTTCCCAACAATGCAGCTGCCCGTGCATTGGGACACTAGTTCCAGTTCCCATCACTGTGTGTGGTTAAGCAGAGAACGTGTCATCACTTCTAGAGAAGATTATCCAATGGTAAGAGGATGGAACCAGATAACGCTAAGGTCCCTTCAACCCCAACATTATGTGATATCTCTTAAAATTAACCTCCCAAACTGGGATATCTATAGTGAGCATAATCCTAGGTCCCCCTGGACCCTTCTATAGGACAATAATTCCCATCTCTCCCTTGCCCAGATTGCTAACCTGGATAAAGACATACCTATAGTTAATGGCTTCCATAGCTAACTAACATTTCTAGATTACCTTCTAGGTGCACCATTCTAAGTGTTCCACCCGAATTACTACATTCAACCCTCAGAGCAACTCTCTGTGCCACATTCTATCAGCTCCATTTTGCAGATAAAGATGTTGAGGCAGAGAGATGTTAGGTAACTTGCTCCAGATGAAACCGTAAGAGCAGAGGCTAATTGGAGCCCAGGCGGTCTGACTCCCGGGTCCATGTGTTAACCGCTAGGCCCCACTGGCAGACAGCAGAGTGCGGCTTCCTCGGGTCACGAGTGGCTGGGGTCATATGGAGCCATTCATCCTGCAGAGCCTACGTGCATAATCAATATGATTATGACCTCAGAGCTACCTTCTAGTTTGTAATTTTTGATACAAAACAAGCTAGATTTCTGGCTTTGAAATTCTTATGGATATAAAATTTTAGAATCTCAGGCAATTATTTTCCAAAGGTATTTGCTCACCTTGATTATTTATTGGTTCTTTGCCTTTTTATGCATGCCAAAATGAAATTAAATTTCTTCTTTAGCTCATATAAAAAAAAACAACAACAACAACCAGAGGACCCCTTCTAGCCCTCCTACTAGAATGTCCACAGCACTAGCCTCTACTGGTATGAGATAAATATTTTTAATATTTACCCAATAGTTCTATACAAATAGGCATCTCTTATGCAATAAACTTCATTTTAAACAAGAGAAGCATATTTCTGATGATCAACAACTACTTGTAATCTGAAACATGTTCAAGAAGAAAATTGATTTTGTACCATTCAAGTCCAGGATATCTCATTTTCCCCTTATCTTCCATAAATCATAAACTAAAACATTTTTCAGCCCTAAATCAATCCAGAGAATATTTCTCATAGCAATGAATCAGTTATTTTGGTTACATGGCTGGCAATGACTACCAAATATCCCTCATGTCAACATTTCTGTGGAGACTGTTCTCTTATCTACAGCAAATTTAAGAGTAGACTCTTCTAAGCCTAAGCCTCCCACCTTTGCTGTTGGTGTGACTCTTGCTCCATCAATTAGCACCTCTCCTCTCCTCTCTAGGCTGTCTTGCACCACACGTTCCAACCATGTTTCAACCACTGAGCCTACCAACAGATTCTGCCTGATCCTCCTAACCCCCCCAAATTAAGTCCTAGGTCCCCCCTAGACTTTCAGGGGGGGAGCAATAATTCCCATCTCTCCTTTGCCTGAATTATCCAATTTCTCTGGAAAGAATGATCCAGTGTCTTCCTTGGAGTTCTAGGTTTTAAGGAGGGGTCTCAGGGATCATGAGAGGGATTAAAGTGGGCAGTCCCCCACCCACCACTGCTTTCCACAGAGCTATCCACATGTCGGTGTGTCTGTCCATTTTTCATAAGATTATCTTTTCCAAAGTCTGAAAACAATCCATTTAAACTCAGTGCATTCATACCATCTTTTCTAGTTATCACTTAACCTTTCTCCCTAAACATTTCACTGGAAGGTCATTTACTTTCCTTCACTTTTGAAGAAGTCATGATGGCATGTCTACCATGTTCCAGGCACAGCACTACGCATGGGAGCTGGGACATGGTGGTGACAGAAACACTTGCTCATCAGTGAATTTGTAATTATCCAACCCCACAACACCTTTCACTCTTCCATTCAGTCCTCCTTCCTGAGTGTCGTCGTGGGTTTATGTTCTAGAGAGGGAGAAAGTGTAAATGAAATGAGGGTCTGGGATGGTGGGTGGCGTGGCCAGGGGCAGCAGATGTCACCCAGCAGGGACAGCCCAGGCCTCTCTGAGGAAGAGATTTGAGACTGGGGTGGCGAGAAGGGGCCAGTCAGATGAAAGCCTGGCAGGTTGTGGACATCTTGGGCAGAGATGGCCGGTTCAAAGGAAGAGGCCACCTTCAGTATTCAGAACAAAAAGCTGCATGTAGTGATTGCTGAGCAAGAGACAAGAGGGAGCTGTGCTTGCAGTCTCTCTGGACAAAGAAAACTGCTGACCTGGTACAGGGTTGTAGGAAGTGCAGAGGTCAAGGGTTAGCGGACTTTCAGAATCCCCTAGGAATGGAGTTTTGTTGTGGGGTGTGGTTCCCAGAGTGAGGCTACTGCTGAGCCTGACTTAGGAGGCTGGTTTAGAGGTGAGATTACTGACATGAAGTTGTCCTTGATCATTTCTGGTACTTATGTCTAACAGTGGCCAAAGACCAGTCATTTCTTTTCTGGGACCTGGGAAGGCAAGCACACAGAGGTGTGCTCCTCAGATCCACCTTCGAGAAATGACCAGCTACCTGGCTTGAGGGCTGTGGTCAGCTGATGTCTCCAGCTGACACTGTCTTTTTGGGGTCGGTGGCAAATTCAAGATAAGGACACATTTTTCTTGGGCGTAGTGAGCCTGTGCCTGAGCAAGGCAGTGGGAGCTGACAGTCCGCTGTTTTCTGGCATCTTCCAGCCAAAAACTGAGCAAGGTGGTGGTGCAAGGACCTAGCTGTTTCTGCCCAACTCAGGCCCCTTCTGAGTAAACAGTCTTTGCTCTGGAGCTTCATGGTGGGCTGGCAGAGCCTTCACCAGATCTATCATGAAGCCTGACAGCTCCCCCCAACCACAATCTCACTTCTCCTTTCTGCTTTCAGAGACTGTTAACTTTGTCATACATTTTTTGTGCTCCTAACTCCAACCCAGGGTCAAACCGGCATAACTGGGATCAGAGTGGCCCACGATCACGGGCAGTAAGGGCATCTTGACACTGGGTCACTCACTGCCTGGCTCGTTATGAGGCTCACATCCCTGGTCGACGGGCAGTGCATAGACTGCTCCTGGCATAAGAGGGCTGTCTAGTTATTAAAACTTTAGATGGAATGACCTACTTCTGGAGTAGTGTACAATGGCTGGTAGATGATTCGGGTGTCTCAAATATGGGGTGGGGCTGGATAATGAGTAGAAGGGCAATAGACTTGAATGGTTATTACTAACTTGAATTGATGTCCTCCAGGTGGATAAGGAAAAGCTGAGGTCAATTAACAGACAATTTAAAGTTAAGTGTGAGCGCCAGAGTCTCTTTGGGAACTTGCTAAGAAGCCCTCACCTCATGCCGAAGTTAAGCAGAAAAAGCTGAAGGTCAAGCACAGGATTTGATGGTAAAAGTAGTAACCACCAAAAATGTTCAACCAGGGGAGCCTGGGTGGCTCAGTTGGGGTGTCTGCCTTGGGCTCAGGTCATAATCCCGGGGTCCTGGGATTGAGCCCCACTTTTTGGGGGCTCCCTGCTCAGTGGGTCTGCTCTTTCCTCTCCCTCTGACCCTCCCCTGCTTATGCTCTCACTGGTGCTCTCTCTCTC